TTGGTAGCGATGACTGCGCGAACCTGGGGACGCGGATGGCGTAGACCAGTGCAGGTTTAAGCTTTCGATCGATACAAGGATTGCGCGACCCAAGGATGAAGCGGCTCCATTGCGAGTGGCCCATCGCATCTCGCTACAGAGGCTCAACACGGCTGCCACGCTGGCATCGACCAGATGAAGAACGGTGCCGGCTGCGTGCGATCTGCTCTGCGTTATTAATAGGCGACCCACCCCTGGCCGCGTAGATGACTTGCAGCCAGAAGTCGTCACCGGGCTTTCGCAATGTGCGGGGCGGTGCCTCACCGAGAGCCTCTGCAGTCTGCAGCCTTTCCAATCCATATCTCACCCATGCTCGCGCCGCATCGCTGGACTCTGTACTCACGCCGCGCAGTTTTGCGCCGGTCGAATCACACACCTGTACCCAAATGGGCCCCTCCATCCTCTCTCAGTGGTCCCACCGCCTGCAGCTAGACGGCCGGCCGCTGAGGCCTGCATCCAACCAGCTCGACAGACACATATCACGACCGTTGTGCGCTTGGAACACGTACACCAGACTGAGGAATATCAAATACAATGTTGTAATGTCTTCTATCATTCGTAGTGGTATCTTAGTAAGCAGATTCCTATCCTATCCTACATCGCCTGGCCAGGGACCTTCTCTGGGATGCCAGCAGCAGCCTTGGCCTCGCCCAGCTGCTCACGGCCCTCGGCAAACACCTTGTCGAAGTCGTACTCGAACCATCTGATATCCGGGTTCAGTCCAGCAAACTTCCACTCGCCATCGATCTTCTTGTACCAGTGCGTGTTGAAGCTGTGGGCATGGCCCTTGACGGCAACCTTGGTGCGGGACTCATCGGTGTACCTCTGATGGGGCACACGGAGCTGGTGGTACCCGGTAATCTCGTCCTCTGCAGTCTTCTCCCACCGCGTGCCGCCGATGAAGTGCTGTGTCTTGAGGAGAGGGTTGCCTAGTACGTTGGGGTCCGAGGCCATGGCGACGAACTCGTCTGCAGGCATGGCTTCCCAGATCTTGTCGAGGAAGGATCGGTAGTCGATCTTCAATGTGGGGGCGATGCATTTGCTCAGACGGTTCCAGTCCTGCGATGTGTAAGTGATTATCGCTGAGCAGCGGTGCATGTCGACCGACCTTGCTATCGTAGCTGTCTGCCCACTCATAGCACGCCGACTGGCAACCCATAACGTCTGAGCTTGTTAGTCATGCTCGCAAGAGACCGCAGAGAGGACCAACCATCGAACGTCGGCTTCAATTCGTTCTTCTCAAACATGATGACTTTTTGTTTCTGGTAGTTCTGGGAGGCGAAAGTGTTACTGTTATAGTATGGTATTGCAATTATATCTCCTCCCTTCGTTCCCTTCGTCTTTATATCTGTCGTGCTCCATATTCCAGCACTTCTATTTGCGTCCTCTTCTGCGACGTTTGGCTTCGGGTCCCCGCCCAACGGGGTTCCGCCATCCGCATACTCGAGACTGCCGGTGCGGTGCCAGCGGTCGCGAAACGGGGCCGAGTACATTCCTGGACTCGGAGGTCCCTATGTTTCGACACTGCCGACATGTTTCTACACTAGGATAGTGGAGTTACGTCGAAGATGTGCTGCAGGGCAGTTGCTGCCGCGACCCCTCGCGGGAGAAAGAAGGCGCACGGGCCACTGAAACACCAAACCTTCCGATGGTGCGCCGTGGCTTCAAACTTCCTTCATCTCCAGATTTAGCAGTCGCAGGCCGTTGCGCGTTCGTTTCGTTTTGTCGTCTTTTGATACTAGCCGGTTGACATACCGTTGCATCCTATGCTCCACGAATCGACTGAGTTGCGACGAACCAATTGGTACCATCAATTGATACTCACGCCTAATCAACTATGCTACATCCGATTCTGCTCTAGTGAGTGAAGTGAGGATATACAGCTTCACCCATCCACGCCAACCTAGGAAAGACTAAACAGCTGAGAGCCTACGTTGACGTTAGGTCACCTACGTTGCGAGGTTTGAGCTAAATGTAGCCTGCAGACCTGTTCAGTATTTTTCACGTATGAGGTGCATCAGTTCTCTGTCTTTCTCCAGGACTGTCAGACTAGGATGCTTCTCGCTCCGGGCAGACTGATTGGCTTGCGACACGCCTCTCAGCCCCTAACATGTGGCGCGTGTGTGCCTGCTGCCTGACCCCTCTCTTCACAGGCCAGATAAGCAATCGCTGCAGTTGTCTTTCTGGACACGTATTTCGTACATTAGTTTCTTCGACATCGTTCTTCAGCTTTTTTTTGCGCGGTCCACCTTTCCTGAAAAGTTCCTTCGATGCCCAGCTCAGCGTTGCGCCTACTGGCAAATCTGTAACAGGAGTGCGTTCACGACTCTCACGCACGCTTACGCTTTGGCGTTCGCATCACCATGGAAGCTTCTGAATCTTATGTGGCGGAATCGGTCTCTGATGTGGAAGAGCCCGCCTCTAATCAGGATCCGGGCGGTGACTCGCTAGAGCGGATGGTGCACTGGGATCCACCATGTTGGTGGATTATGGACGATAACCCGAAAACTTCTTCAGACTACGACCATATCAAAGCCGCATATGCCAGAGCGGAGACCTGCACAGTATGCCTCAATAATCTCTGGCCTCCAAAAGGTGCGGAAATCCGCTTTTCAGATTTAGTGCTATCTGTCGAAGAAGGTTGTGCTGGATGCATGATACTATCCGGTATATTGAAAGTCTGCTCTCTAAGCAGTGGAATAAATAAATCATTGGGTTACTGGGATTTTGCAAGGTGGCAGCAGAAAAACACGCGCTGGACCATTTATTTCCAAGAGCAAGCATGGGAAGTATTTGTCCCAAAAGACGTGTTTGGGAACGGCAATTTGGGTGGAGGCAGTCCTCTGCATCTGTCCCAACCTCAACCATGGCGGGTGCCGCACCTGCCTCGCGAGCTTGAAGTATACCCAAACACCGGATCTGGACACGCCATCGAACGCGCTCTTGCATGGTTGCGAGATTGCGAGGAGAACCACGAAGCGTGCAGAGGCACCAACTTAAAGCTGCCTTCTCGCGTCATCGAGATCCAAGGCCCCGATTCTGTCAAGCTTTATGAGTCTAAGGGGGAAGTTGAACCCTATGTTTGCCTGAGCCATTGCTGGGGCAAGGGCAGCATGATTCAGACCACTACTTCTAGCGTGGACAAATTTAAGCAAAATATCCCCTGGCACGAACTTCCCCGTACTTTCCAGGAATCCATCTCCTTCACCTTCCAGTTGGGCTATCGATATCTGTGGATAGATTCACTGTGCATCCAACAAGACAGTGACGAGGATTGGCGCATCGAAGGAAGCAAGATGGCACAAATTTACTCTGGCGCTGCTCTTACGCTTGCTGCAGCTGCCGCGGATGGTCCAACGATTGGATGTTTTCGACAAACTCCCGAACGCTCTTCTACTGCGTATCCGTATTGCGATCCAGATGGCTCGAGACTAGAGGTGCATATTCGGCCTCAATTGCGGGGGGAAGCATGGCTTACGAACACACTTCCCTTGTTACGGCGTGGATGGACTTTACAAGAATGCTTGCTCTCGCGAAGAATGATTACCTTCACGGACGAAGAGCTCGTTTGGGGATGCCGAGCCGAAACGGTGTGCGAATGCTCGTTCATAGACGACTACTTTGATGCCTACGAGAACGTACGCAGCCCACAAAAATATACACAGGCATCCCAAACTGGTTCCAGAGACGGACCAGATTTATGGTACCCAGTTATCCAGGCATACAATCGTATGGATTTAACATTCGAAAGAGACGTCTTCCCAGCCCTACAAGGACTAAGCAAGCAAATGTATCAGTACAAGAAGTCGCCATACATCGCCGGCCTGTGGGAAAGTAGCATAATCTCCGACTTGCTATGGTTAGTGGAGTTCCCAGAAGAAGTAACCAGGCCACCGAAGTGGCGAGCTCCGTCATGGTCTTGGGCATCCATTATAGGTCCTCTCACTTTTGGACCCCGAGTAGAGCTTAAAGCTCTATGCGAGTTCGTTACTGCACACATCGTACCTGCGGGCGAGGATGGGTTTGGAGAGATTCTCTCAGCAAAGATCACCCTACGAAGTCGATGTCTCCGGCAAGATCTCGAAGGTTCCTATCAATCTACCACGGGATCATACCGGCGAGTGAAGTATCCAGACGATCCCGTGTGGAAGTATATTGAGCAAGCAACGTGGGAAGACTGTTGGCCGGAAAGTGCAAACAGTACGAAGCCTCATAGCACACCCATGGCTCTAGGTGAGCGTGTCAAGACGCTGTTGGTGGCTCAAACATTCTTTTGGGGCTCGCTGGGGGAGTACCAGCTTCTCATCTTGCGATCTTTGGACCCCGAGGAGCACATTTACGAGCGAATTGGTAGGATGCAACTCCACATACTGAACAGCTCCGCAATTGATGACCTTCTGATGGGCGAAGAAGAAACACTTCACATTGTCTAGTCGGACCACAGACACGCGAACACGTTGGTACGAGAACGCTTCGGCTCAAGCGTCACATAGAGGCGCGAAATGGTCACTCTCACATTATAGTCGAAACTACGAGTAGTTTAGAATAGAACGGGAGTACCAAGAAACGACGCACACAGAATAGCACCTCCACAGCAAACATCATATCCTCAACCGTCATACACGCATACACCCATGCGTGTTCACGTCAAGCGTCCTTCAAATCATCTGAATCATATAAGGCCATGTCAAGTGACACCAAGAAACGGATGCTTTGCTGGTTTAGATAACAAGAACGATTCGATTGAAGGCGACGTAAAAGAGGTAGGGTGGTATCAGGATAACGAGGATGCCCAAACGCCAAATGCAAAACAGAATAGTCCAAAGCCACGAAACGAAGCGTTCGCTCTTCTCCGCACTCCGTTGGTATCACCCCAATGCACCAAGCCATCCCCAGGCCTCACCCCCAAACGCCACACCACACACCCCTCAACTCCACACATGCTCTCTCCCTCCCCTCAGCTACTTATACTGCGGCACCCCCTGCGGCGGCGGGCCATAACCCGGCGGTGCACCACCACCCGGCGGACCCTGTCCTCCATACCCATTCATCGGCATAGCCGCACCACCCTCCTGCGGCTTACCCGCATTGGCAAGATGCGCCAGTTCCGGCCGATACTTGATATCCTGCCAGAAATTGCAGACGTGGCACCCCACTTCTTTGCGTGGCTTGAGGCTGAATGGGATAACGGGGATGAAGCAGAAGGTAAACCATTCCCAGCGCTTCATTACGCGGCCGGTGTTGTTGCCGCAGTTTTGGCATTGGAGCGTGAGGTTTTCGGTGCCGGCGAGGCGGGAGGTGAATGCTAGGAAGATGTTAGTGACGGGTACTGATAGGGCTGGGAGTAGGACGTTTGGGAGTGAGAGGAGGGAGGAGAGGATGGAGGATGGGTAGACGTACTGTGTGTTCCGCAAGTAAAGAAGAAGAACATGGTCGCGGGTTATGTGCGCGTGTAGCGCAGTACTCGTTGTGATACGTGTATTTCCCGATTTGGGGGCGGGTGTCTCTTCGCGGTCGGGCTGGTGGAACGATGCGCGTGCGACAAGTGGTACGGATGCTACGCGTTCTGCCGATGGTTGTTGTTCGTATATGCTACTCGTGGATGTAATAGCGCGTGGTATTGAGGTTGAATGGTATTGGGAAGTTTGTCTGGAAAGAAGTAGAATCGTCTGAAATGTATTGCGATGGGAGGCGCGGGTTTCTGGCCGCTGGTAGAAGGCCATTGGCGCCGAGGAAGCTGCGTCATCATCGATGCGTCTCAGCCACACTTGGCCTGGGGGCTAGCGGCTAAGTCCGCCAGCGCGGCGGCTATCACATGTACATCTCCACGTACGCACCCCACATGTGTTGATTCTCTGGTACGGTAATCATCGCATTTAGAAGAGCCCAAGAGTCGGATTGTATTGTCGGCATGCGGTGATGACCTCCAGGGTTGGATGTGGCCGAGGAGTTGATCGACGGCTAGCTCTTACCTGAAGAGGACTGCTGCGCCTGCATCGTGATTCGCAGTGGATGTTAGTCACCTGATCAGAATCGCGAGGCACATTACGAATAGCTAATGGGGTTTGAGCATCAACTCTTCATTATGGTATCGAGCGGCAGCCTCTAAAGCCACTCTTGTGGGAAAGAGACTCGTGACAGTCATTAAGAGTAGGATAGTACAAGCCCTTCATTATCCTTCGCATGCCAACGCCGATGAACCGCAGAGCCCATAGACCTCCATTGAAGGAAATATCCACACTGTGAGAGTGAGGCAGCGTCTCCCCATCTGGAAAGAGACCTAATGCTGGCCCCACAAGAACCTGAGTAGAGAGGATGGATGAGACTCTAGAGGTCACGGGCGCCTTGGTCCAGTCGCATTCGTCTACTGAGTCTTGAAAAGCAAGATAGCACAGTGGCCGAGGTAGAAGTAGATGAAATGCTTCGTCTCTGTAGTCCAGTCAGTCATCATTGTATGAAAGGTGCTAGTACAATAGTCCAGCTTACCATGCGTGACAAAGCTTCCAAAGTTGCGGCCGACGATGCAGTGCCATGTGGCACCCTTCCGGCTGTCGAACTGCGGAGACATTAGCGCGCGCTTCCAACAGCCCTGGGTGTGATCTTACCTCTTTCTTGATGTACTGGGCAATGTCCTACAAGGCGAAAGTCAGTACGGCCCTAAAATGGTCTCGGCCTGAGCGGATAGTGAAGTCCCACCTTCTCGATAGTGAACTGCTCCATAGCCGTTTGTGCTACAACATGTCAGCGTATCCGTCGAGGTATGTCGAAAGCAGTTGACTTACCAACTTCAATGGCCTCTTGTTGCATCTCGTCGCTCTGTCACACATGTCAATATGAATCCGGAAGCAGCAGCCTAGCTATCCCGTACCATGTCTGCGGACTTGATTTGAGCTACATACTGCATTAGCTTGTACTTTGGCAGACGTGTTGACAGGAACAAGGGGTCTTACCATCCTGCTTGTGGGCATCTGACTTGTCGCTGGCCATGGTGTTGATCTGTATGTGTATCAAAGGTTGAGTGGTTTGGTGTAGCTTCCTTCAAAGTAGGCGAGCTCTTATAATGCGCGTGGTTGAGTGAGGCTTGTCCAGGGCCTTGTCATGATGTTTGAGCAGGCGCTCGCGGCGGTCTGCGCTCGGGCCTTCCCCGTGAGCCTAATGCGCGCTAGTGGGCTGCCGGCCCATGCGTCGTTCACTTTTCTCTTCAGAACGCGACACTGACATCCACTACTCCTCCCACGACACCACAACCCGGGCAGGCAAGACTCTTACAGCATGGAGTCGTCACGCATCTTCGTGAGGAATTTGCCCTCTCACTTCACCGAGGATGACGTGCGGAAACACTTTGCCAAGTTTCCCATCACTGACGTAAAGTTCTTCAACCACCGACGCATCGGCTATGTTGGCTACAAGACGCCCGAAGATGCTGCAAAGGCTGTCAAGTACTTCAACAAGACCTTCATCAAGCTCACCAAGATCTACGCAGAGATTGCGCGACCTGTATGTACTTTGCGACCACAATGGCGACAAGCGGGGCTAACATGCGCAGATCGCCGACAAGGAACTGCCAAAGTCACGGCGGCAGCAGAAACTCGAGAAGAGCGCCCCAGTAACCGACGAGTACCGACCGGAACGGCAAGAGAACGACCTCAAGCGAAAACGAGAGGAAGCCGAGCAGGACCCGAAGCTGAAGGAGTTCTTGGAGGTCTATCAGCCGCCGTCTAAGACCAGCATATGGGCCAATGGCGATACCCAGCTCAATGAAGCACCTGCCGCAGCCGCTGAAGAGGCTGTACCGGCGATTGCTGTACCAGAGGACGAGAGCGACGATGAATATCAAATCATCTCGAAGAAGCCAAAGATTGCTGAAGAGCCTGCGACCGCGCCAGCCCCTGCAGCCCCTCAGCCCACACCTGCTGAAGCAAGCGCAGCAGTGCCTCAACCAGGAGCTGGAGAAGCTGGCGATGCGATGGAGGACGTACAAGTAGCGCCAGCCATCGAACAAGGACCTGTCACGGATGAGGACTGGCTGCGGTCGAGAACAAACAGGGTTTTGGAGCTCGTGGAAGACGATGAAATGCCATCAGCTAGCACGGCTCCTGTCGCTGTAACACCAAAGCCAGCTGCCCAACCACGCGCACCTGCTGAGCCTTCAGCCGCCGTTGCCGACGCACAGCCAGAGCCACAATCCCCGGCGGAAGAGCAGACCGATACTGCTGCCGCGCCTGACGAGGAGGACAAGATCCGCGAGACTGGTCGACTATACCTCAGAAACCTGCACTACGAGGTGACAGAGGATGAGATTAAGGAACAGTTCTCCAAGCACGGAGCTCTTGAGGAAGTAAGTCATCAAATATCTCTTTCTTTACCCGCCCATGCAATGATGAACATCAAGATAGGGACAACTGATGCTTCGGCACCTGAGGTTACCTTGGAAAGTATTTTAGTAGATGTCTTTCTTATCTGATAGCGGCAACCACTCCTTGTTGATAAACGTACACTTGTACGAATAGTTGCTGACTACGACAGGTTCATGTGCCGTTGAAGAAGGCAGATGGCAAGGGTAAAGGTTTCGCCTTCGTGCAATTCCAGAACCCGAGCGATGCAGTGGAAGCTTACCTTGACAACGACAACACCATCTTCCAGGGACGTCTCCTTCACATCATCTCCGCGAAAGCGAAGAAAGATACCAAGCTCGACGACTACGAGATCTCCAAGCTGCCTCTCAAGAAGCAAAAGGAGATCAGAAGGAAACAACAGGCAGTCAAGGCCACGTTCAATTGGAACTCGCTCTACCTTAATGCTGATGCAGTCATGTCCACCATCGCAAGTCGCATGGGCATCAGCAAGGGCGAACTGCTCGACCCTACTTCGTCAGACGCTGCAGTCAGGCAAGCGCATGCCGAGACACACATCATCCAGGAGACCAAGTCGTACTTTGCGCAGCATGGCGTCGACCTGGAGGCCTTCCAACGCAGCGCCAAAGGTGATTTGGCTATCCTCGTCAAGAACGTACCTCATACCGTGACGGCTGATGAGCTCCGCAAACTGTTCGAGGAACACGGCAAAGTGACCAAATTCCTGATGCCGCCGACCGGTATGACAGCTATTGTCGAGTTCTCGAACGTTGCGGAAGCAAAGACTGCATTCATGTCGCTGTCGTATAGGAAGATGAAAGACTCAATTCTGTACCTGGAGAAGGCCCCCAAGGATCTGTTCAAGGAAGGTGTCGCAACCAACTTTGTGCAGACCACGCCGTCCGCCCAGCCTTTGCAGTCCTCACAGCCTGGCGTGAAGCTTTCTGCAACTGACCTGCTGGTGGACGACCCTGAGCCAGAGGCAACAAACACTGCCACTTTGTACGTGCGCAACTTGAACTTCTCCACCACAACTGAGCGTCTCACGGAGGCGTTCAAACCCCTCGCAGGTTTCCGGAGTGCCACTGTGAAGACCAAGACCGACCCCAAGCGAGGCGTGCTGTCCATGGGCTTTGGTTTCGTCGAGTTCAACAGTCCCGAAACTGCGACTGCAGCTTTGCGAGCCATGGACGGACATGATCTCGAAGGGCACAAGCTTCTCATCAAAGCTTCCCACAAGGGCGCCGATGCCGCCGAAGAACGCCGCAACGAGGATGCAGCAAAGAAGGCGGCCAGCACGAAGATTCTCATCAAGAACTTGCCGTTCGAAGCCAGCAAAAAGGATGTTCGTGCTCTGTTCACTCCTTACGGTCAGCTTCGATCCGTTCGAGTACCCAAGAAGTTCGACGCTTCCTCACGTGGTTTCGGTTTCGCAGAGTTCACCACCAAACGCGATGCTGTCAACGCCATGAACGCATTGAAGAACACACATCTGTTGGGCCGTCGCCTGGTCCTTGCATTTGCTGAGACGGAGTCTGATGATCCAGAGAAGGAGCTGGAGAAGATGCAACAGAAGGTGGGAGCACAGGCCAACAAGGTCGCCTTGCAACGCCTCACAGAAGGTGGTCGCAAGAAGTTTAACGTTGCAGGCACCGATGATCTAGACGACTGAGCGCAAGAGTATTCCGATAGGAGTTGCGCGCGCGACACCGTCATACCTTGACGCCATCCCTTGCTCCCCGGCCACACAAGCTAGGCCGCCCTTTGCCGCGGTCCGTAGGAAGTAGTAGGGGTGCTTTGACCTGCTGCACGACGCTATATCTAGAACACCGTTTTCTAAGCTTCGACAGGGTATATCGCCAGTGGATTGCATCAATGGGCATGGCCACCACACGGCGTTTCAGACTACTCCAAAGGGAGTAAAGAAGCCATGAACGAGACGTTTGTCGATCATGCAGACTTGACGTAGTTTGTTGTTTGCGGACACTGACCTCTATCCTTGCTTTGAGCAGTCCGTGATGGCTCTGTTCGCCTATGGCCAATCAGGTGACTGTCGAACAGATGGCAGTTTGACTCCATGCCCTTGATCACTCTGCTAACCACGCTACATTTACCATTACAACAGCAAAGGTTTCACGAGAGATGTGATCAATGGCCAAAAGTCGAACTGGGACTTTTTGGAGGCCATGATGAAGGCACGACGCACTCCAATCTTAATCTTGTGGTACTGGACTGTCACCCCGATGACTGGCCCCTCTATCAATTTCCGGCTAGCGGAAGTCGTATTGCACCCTACGGTCGGTGCTATGGCCTACGTGCCTATCATGTAGTCCTCCTGCCTAGGGCCCGTCATCTGGACCATACTTTATCAATGCAATCATCTGCAAACCTCGCCGCATACCCAGCTACATTCTCGTCTTCATTCACCACACTCGTTGCTTCAACTGCTCAACATTCATTGCTTTGTACTTCAAGTCTCATCCATACTTATCATCGCTGGTTTCATATTCTGAGGTTTGCATGCCATAGCCGCCATGCAGGTCCAGTCACCCCAGCCCTTGTCCAGGCTGTCGGCGGACATTCCCCTCTTGGAAGGTACTCCGGTCGATGGATCGCCACAACATCGAGACGTCCTCCAGGAGCGTTACGCTGCGCAGTCTCACAACACTCATAGCAGTACAGCCTCGCCACAAGTGGGACAAAGAAGCAGTCTCAGCCCCTCCGACAGCTCTCACGCACAGCGGAGCGTCGCCACAGGAAACTATTACACCGGCAATGTACACGCACAACACATCGGATTGGCCGGCTTCGGCGTCGAGAGGTCAGAGAAACAGATCAGATGCGAGCTCGGGCGACTATACAAGCTACTTCAACGGTCAGAAAAGTACCAGACATATCGCGAAAAGCAACCAGCTCTTACACCGGCCGAAGTCGTCGCGAGAGACGCTGCAGAGAGAAAAGAGCAGGAAAAGAGAAAGGCACAGGGACTACAGCAAGAGAAGGACAAGACTGTCTGGCCTGACTTCTTAGAACAAGCCTTCTGGACGGGTAAGTTTTCATTTTCATTACACCTCATCTCGCAGTACGTCTGTCTCACTACCTGCGTTTTCCACTTCTATTCTCCCACCACCTATGGTTACGCAGCTTCACGATTCCAGCCCAACATCTGACAAACACTCTACAGCACTCGTACGATGGCCGCCAATGGGAAGGAAGAAATACATGCTCGAAGGCACCCAGCGAGGGCGGAATGAGCTGATCCAGGATTCTATTTACAGAGACACCGGTATCAGACGCGACCGCAAACAGGTTTCCAGCCATCTCCAGGTCCTCAAGGACAAGCTCAGAGGTGTTCCTGCTGGTGAGTGCCCGTCTCGTACATCGTGTAACCATCGGCATCAGCCTCTTCTCATTCGCCCATAACATCGGGGCAGCGGTCCCGCATGCGTCGATCCGGTTTCAAGTCGTCAGAGCATTCCTATCTTCCAAAGTTCTTCTAGAAGGCAGTGGCGGCGGCTTTGCGGTTGCTATTCCTGGTGTGATTGAGAGGGTTCCGCTAGGGACTACCAAAATGAGACTAACCTGCACGACAGTCCTACTCTACATGGCCACACCTGAGGACGTCTCTAAGCGCCGATCTACGAATACATCCGCCCGATCATCCTATTCGTCACAGCTGCATGGCCGCCAACATGCGCAGCGCACAGAGTCTGTTACCAAATCCGATTCCAGTACCTCCTCGCCGCACGTTTTGCCGCATTGTAGCGGCCCACAATCCGACCTCGCCCTGGGTTCCGGCCCGGATTCTGATGCGCTGTCTTCTTCATTCGCAGTCACGGGCTTCAAGATCCTCCTTGAGGGTGATCATCAGCCTATGCACTGTTTGGCTCAATCACAATCGCAAGGCAGGCTCGATAGCTCGGATGTTGTAGATCTTGCCTCTTGGCGCCATCAATACCGCGAGTTTGACTTCCTCCGATCCGAGACCGAGGAATGGATGGAGAACGGTCGGAAAGTGTTGGTCGCTACCGCATCTACTGCCTTGATGACAGAGGTGCCGCCAGATGTCGACCTAACCATCATCTTCGATCTTCACTCGCATTCCGATTTGTCAAGATACGACTATGTCGAATGCATGACGCGATTTTACAACAGCGGCGAGAACGCAATCAACCCGCAATTTGACCGCACTAGGCATAACCGTGAAGAAACGCGATCCACTTGCGAATATCGGCGAGACCCCCAAGGCTCTCAAGGTGTCCTATGCGTGCAATTTACGACGGAGCCATGGGCGAGGCATGTGAGGGAGAACCAGAATCTGACGCACAGGAGCGAGGGAATTGTCAAAGAACCGCTTCAACACCTGGCAGCAATACAGTACATATATGGTGTTGTTGCTAACACAGGCGAGGTCCGATGCCTCGCTACAGTTCTTTGGAGGTTCCAGCAGACGAGTGAATCTGCAGAAGTTGGCAACATTGAGTGGCGTTCCGTGAAGTTCGCTGATCATCGGTCAGCTGCAGGAGAAAGACATTGTTATGAGGCGATACCCAAGACTGAAGATTCGGAAGATACGGAAGATGTTCCCAAGCGTACTCTGGCCATACCAACGTCTACACATACAGTTGCGACGCCTTATTACCAAACTGCACAGCTACCATTGGACTTGGCACATACACATATAAGCCACCACTCATACGAGACTGAGCCTCACCATGCGTACTTGCCATCACATCTTTCCGTCGATGTTCTCGAATCAATGCAACCAGATCCAGACCACCTCGACACCTCGGTGGCCACTACTACCACTGAGTTCTCCGGCGGAAGCTTTGCACAATCACGTACTCCAGGCATCGCATCGCCGAACACACAAGGCAACGACTTCAACTTCAATGCCGGACACATGGCTATCCGAGGCGACTTCGAACCTGTGAGCAACCCCCAGGTATATGGAGGCTTCCTTAGCCAAAGCACTGGACATGAGGGATTGCATACGCTTGCTGGACTGGAGCACGATGAGCTCGCAACCATGGGGCTTGCTGTCGGCGAACATGGACAGCTGATTCCAGTGGATGCAAACAACGATCTGCACTATCCCACCAATGCAGCTTGCTATTCGGCCAAACCCAACTGGCAGCACGCGCAACTCGTTTCGCACCTCGAGAACGCAGCAGAACAGTACCGCCCTTACCTGAGTCATGATGGCCATGCTCAGGTAGCACCAAATCAAGGCGCTGTTCATGGCCATGACCCATATCAACAAGTCGGTCAAAGACAGGACTCAGTGGCGGGTATCTTCCCCAACGCGAATCACACCTTTTGGGTTTTGCACGGGCTTCAAAGCCCATTCCAAGACGACATGGGTAGTGGTGCCGTTCATGGGACAGAACACTTGGAAGAGCAGACACACGGTCCAGACTACGGTGTGCCGGGTCTAGTTGAGAGAGACCAAACAGGAAGAGGTTATTAGACCTCGGTCGGCCCCCTTGAGGCCGCTTACGATGAAATGACTTTATGTTGGTTACATATGTATCATGTAGATTAGGATTAGGTAGATTATCGAAAGAGAATAGAGGTCTCACGCTGGCGAAATTTGATACCTATCTCGTACGACATGTCTCGACACACTGATCACAGAATGCTCGTGTCCTGCACGCACAACAGCCCTTAGTTTCTCCGATCCCTTTGACGCCGCGAAGATACATGAAACATGGTCGACCCACTGACGCATGCATCTGACAGACACACCCGAGCCGCTCAAAACTACACGCTAGCAACGGCAATGGCGTCAGACTCCCGGCACAGGCATTAAACGGTCGATAGGGCGTTCCTTACGCTGCACAGCCGATCAACCTGCATACAAACCTAAAATAGACAAGATATGCACATGTAAAAGCTTTGATCTTCGGGTGAGGAGCCCAACAAACGCTACACCCGATCCCGCATAACGATCTGTAAGGACATTGTGGCATGTAATGTAGGCGGAATCCATGGAATAAACTACGTAATTGCCAACGGCCGCGGCCATACCCGCAAGGGAAGCGGTGCGCCTCGGGTACCCTGATTGTTCAGTCCATGGGCATGTGCATGATCCCTTTTGCTGCACTCAGCCACGATAACAGATGTTGTTTACCTAATGCTATCGCTACACCGCATGTGCGCACCGGCGTCATTACAGCCCAAAGTGCTGCGAAGAGCCTAAGGCGCGTCAAGTCGACAAACGCGCTGGCGCGCGGTCACGCCTGCTTGCCCGCATTGAGCGGGGCAAACAGCGAGAAAGCTCCACTTTCAAGCGACGACAACAGCAAGCGCTCGGCACGCTACCTCGTTTGTGGACTTTGCTATGGACACGGCGGGGGAGGATTTGAAGAGATACTTGATTGTTCCGACACTTTCTTCTTCTCCTTCTTGTTCGTTACTTCCGTCTTCACGTCCAGCTGCTAGCGATTTGGAGAGAACGATTCCTGATCCTTGCAACACAGATACGAAATACGAGCAAACAGCCTCCACAATCAACAAGGCTGAGAAGAGAAAGATGGAAGTCGATACACCTACTCCCCTACCCAATTCTTTCGGGGGTGTGCATGCAGCTGCTATGGATGGAAGTACACCACTCGACGGCGTGATCAGCATGGATGATTTCATGATCCAGAACAAGCACACGCATGAAGCTCAGAAACTCGTCCAGGAAACCAGACAACCGGCACTTCCTCCCTCCAAGAAGCCCAAAACCCCCAACGGAAAAGCCACTCCACTCGTTCCTGTAGCAGTCGGCGCCCGCTCCTCCCGGCACACAATCCTCCTCCACGAAAAATACCAAGCCCTCGGCATCCCGCAACCACTCTTCACCTACGGAGGCGGCAGCGAAATGGGCTGGACTGTTTCCGTTTCTTTCCCTGGTCTGGATGATGCGGAGGAGCTGCAGGGATTGAAGTTCGAGGAAGAGAAGAAGTTTAATAGCAAGCAAGAAGCCAAGGAGGCTATGAGTCAGAAGGCGTTGGGTGTGTTGGAGGCGTTGGAGAAGGAGGGGAGGGTCAAGAAAGGTGGGAAGGGGAAAAAGAAGAAGGGGGGTGGTGAGGGGGAGGGGAAGGTTGGGGAAGTTGGAAAGGTTCAAGAGGAGAAGGAGAAGGGGCCGGGGGAGAATTATGTTGGGAAGTTGCTTGAATTCCAGCGCGCGACTGACTCCCCCCAACCAACATATACGGATTATCAATCTGGTCAACGCTTCTCCTGTATCATCACCATCGACGGCGAAGACCAACCCTTCGGCTCCATCTCAAACCTCTTCTCCTCCAAAAAGGCCGCTCGACAAGACGCCGCCCGCCACGCCGTCGAGCATTTCAAAAGCCTAGGTACCTGGCCCTCAGACGACACAGCCGTCGGCGGCATCCGTAAGAGAAAGAAAGGCGCACCCATCGACCCAGAATCCGTCTTAATATCGCCCCTAGACGGCTCCAGTTCCCCCTCCACACCCCCCATCCAAGCAACAACCCCCACCCCCGCCCCACCCGGCACCCCCTCCTACGCCTCCCGCGTCGCGACCCTCGCCGTTACCCTCGCGCTCCCGACTCCAGAATGGAACTACACGCCCCACCCCTCCGATCCTACATTCCACAGCGTATGCTGTTTCTTTAAAGGCGCGGGACAGCACGAGGGTCCGATTGGTGAAGTGAGGAATATATACGGCAGGAAGAAGGCGAAGGAGGAGTGTGCAAGGTTGACGCTGGAGTATTTGCAAGAGGTGAAGGAGGAGAGGTTGAGGTATGGGATTAGTGTTATGAGGGGGGTGCTGGGGAGTGAGGGGGTGGAGGGGGTGATTGAGCGGGGGTTGGGCAGGGTTGGATTGGGTGAGGGCGAGGAGAAGATGGTTGGGGATGTGGGAGGCAAAGTGAGATTGGGAATGGGGCTTGATGGTGTGGATGATAGGATGGGGGATATGGATGTGGGGGAGAGTAGTGAGGATGAGGTGTTTGCTGATGCTATGGAGGGCTAGGGTTTGGTCTCTACTTTGGAGGCGTCGGACTTGTATAGCAACTTTGGGTAGTGTACAGCGGGATTGGGTAGAGATGGTGTGGCCTGGACCTTGTATACTGGTGTTCGGTACACATGAACTTTGGGTTTGACTGTAGCATAGATCCCTCTGATGAATACCCCTACAACATATCAAAGCCCTCGTCCTCCCCCACTTTCACCCAACACATCTACCTCACCATCTCCGCACACACATTGAAGGGCAAAGCAATCGAACACCCAAGTAAAATGACCAGTAATATTCGCGCATCTCCACGATACACATGTCTAAACTCCATTCCTACCTTCGCAGAAGGCATGAAGTAGACAGGAGACTAGTTGTACAGTTTACCCAGTCCCGCTAACATTTGAGATACACTGGATGGGAGGCTCACTAAGCCCACCTCGACACTCTTCGCGAAGAAAAAAAGCAGAATATCCATCCGCACCATGCGCCGTGATAAAGAGACCCAGCGACGACAACGACAGGAGGTATAGATGTACAGGTACAGAGGACCATTGCGACCGTAAAGCCCGTGGACTCAACCGCAGAATTAGAAACCAGGAAGTCGGCCGCTCTTCTAAGACGAAGCAACCTCGCTCTTCCTCTTACTCCGATCGCGCTTCTTCTCCTTACCAGCCTTATCCGCCTTCTCCTTCTCCTGCGCCGCCGCGTTCTCCTTATCGCCTTCCATCTCCGTGTTGCGCGTGCTACGCCCGGATTTGGCCTTCTTCTTCGCGGCGCCAGTCTCCTCGGGGGGAGTAGGTTCGTCGTGGGAAGAAGCTGGGGCGGGAGCGATGGGCTGGGGCGCAGATTTCTCCTTCTTCTTCTTGTCTTTCTTTGCGGGGGTTTCGGCGACGGCAGGGGCGGTGGAGGTAGTGGCTTGGGGTGCGGAGCGCGAGGTAGGCAGGGGAACGGGTGTGGACGCTGTGGCGGGCGCGATGGAGACGGGGATTGAGTTGCCGTTTACAGCGGGCGTGGTCTTCTGGCGCTTGCGTGGTGTCTTTGCGGGGGGAGAGGGGGCTTTGGCGGGCGCTTCGTCTTCGTCTTCGGAGGAGGCGTCTGTGTCTGCTGCGCCGGCTTCGACTTCGGCTTCGATTTCTGGTTCGCCTTCCTCGGACGCGTCGTCTTCTTCGATTTCGGCGTCCTTGATGCCCTTCTGCTTGACGTATTCGGCCATTTGGACTTTCCATTCTTCCATGGAGTTGCGGTAGGATGCTTTCCATTCCTGTGATTGGGTTAGTGAGACGTTGATTGTCGGGTTTTGTGGTTGTGTGCTTACCTCCTTCTCCGCGTCGGAAAGCTCAGCCCAGCGCCTGTTGACCTCGGTCTGGACGGCGGCTGGAGCGAGTGTGCCACCGGGAGCGAGCGCTGCCTCCAGATCCGCCTTGACGATGGGACGCGCGTGTTGGTGGTAGAGGAAAGCAGCAGTGAGAGGCTTCTTGGGCGCATTGGGGTCTTTCTCCTTCTTCTCGCGCTTGCGCTTCTTGCTCTTGACGCCGTCAATTGCTTTCTCAGCAGGCGCGCCGACGTCTCCAGCTACGCTATCCATGAGCTTTTGGCCACTCTCTACAACATTTGCAGCGGTCTTGATGGTGCTTGTGATAGCATCGTTTTCGGTCGAGACGTCGTCTTTTTCAATGCCGAGGACTGATGCGCAGTGCTTGTTGTAGTGGTCCATGAGGACGGTGATCTGATGTTGTACGTTGACGAGACCATTCTGGAGGCTGTGGAGAGAGCCGAGGACCTGCGCGTAATTGTAAGTTTTTGCTTTGAGAAACCACCATGTATCGGGTCGCGTAGATTACGCGATCCATGTTACACAGACGTATCCATATGGCGACGTGATGGTGGCGCGATAATGCGCGCTGACCGCGTGGTGTTCCGACGCGACGACAGAGCTATGCGCGCGTGTCGCAATTGCGATTGCAGAGTGCAAAAAGGGAATTGGGTACGTACGTGGTCTCTGGTCCGATTGAATTCTGCAACAGAGATCAGCAATTCGCCGGTGGCGGGCGTCTTCTTCTTGGGGACCATGTTGGGCGGCGTGGTATGGGCAGAGGGTGAAGACGCGTTGACGGGCGGGAGGTTGAAGAGGGAGGGCGCGGGAAGGGCGGAGGAGCGCTGAAATTTCGGGGGGTCGGGGGCATAGCTCCCTTAAGTGACAGCCCAAACACAAGCGAACGTGCCCTGACTTTTGGGCAGTCACCAGCCCATTTTGGGGGGCACCAGTAAATTAATGCCCCCAAAATTCAAATCTAGGCTTACTTTTCGCGCCTGCAGCCTGTACAAAAGGCGCGTTTTCAGTATGCATCTTGATGAATTGCACGCGAAAGTTATGCGCAGTCTTTTTTAAGCGTCTATCGCCTTTCAGAAGCCAATCTCTACTATCAACGCGCATTATATCTCTGTTGCGCAATGCATGTCTCTGTTGCAGCGTGTTGTGCAACTTGGGTGGCGTAGGCCGCCTATTAGAGCGAGGGCGCTCATCCGCTGGGCAGAGTGCGCCTGGCAAGTGCCCCCCAAGCCGCCCGTGATAAGGCCTCGCTTTGGTGCCACCTCCCCATCTTTGCGCATGTTTCAGGCGCTGTTTGGCTTTGCCTGCCACCACCACGCAACATGTCAAATTTCACTTTTCGACGGCGGCTCATATCTTCGCACGATGTATCATAGTAAAATCCCAGACAATCTTTTCTTCTTCTGCAGTCATCTTTGATATTGTTACCTATCTACTCCTTGAATCGACCACCTTCGCTGACGTCAGGGTATACGTCAAACCGCCTCTGTCCATACAGTGGCACTCCCTTCCTGGTCTCCTCGATCTTGCCCGCCTCCAGTTCGCGGATGAGTACACCCTCCTTCTCGTCGAGCTGCTCTAGCACTACCGCATTGGGGTCAACGACCATGCTGTGTCCCCACGCGTTGTATTCAGCCTCCATGTCTCTTGCTGGACTACACAATCCAACGTAGACCTGGTTGTCCGTCGCCCTAGCCCTCGCCAACAACTCCCAATGTAACGCGCCGGTTGTGAGATTGAATGCGCCAGGGTATAACAGCAGGAACGCGCCTTTCCTCGCCGCGATCATTGCGAGCTCGGGGAACCGTATGTCGTAGCAGATGGCTATCGCAATCTTTCCGTATTCGGGGAGGTCGACTAGTGTGATCTTATTGCCTGGCGACAGCACCTCGCTCTCCTTGAATTTGATCTTCCCTGGGATATCGATGTCGAACAAGTGCACCTTGCGATGAGTGGCAAGTAGCTCTCCACTAGGCGCAAATGTCAAACTCGTATTGTACAGCTTCTTTGTATCCTTATCATCTCTCTCCGGTATGCTTCCTCCAACAAGGTATACGCCCGCCTCTTTCGCCAATTTGCTCAATGCGTGGAAGGTCTGCGATTGCGATTCCGATGGTGGGGATGGGAGGAGTGTCTCGGCGTACTTGTCGAAGTACTTTGTTCCGTAGGGCGAATTGAAGCATTCGGGCAGGACTACGAGCTTTGCGCCGGCTTTCGAGGCATCGAGCACCTTTTGGCGCGCTGAAGTGAGGTTTGCGGTCTTATCGGCGCCTGAGGCGAGTTGGATGAGCGCGAGCTTTAAGGACTTTTTGAGGAGGGACGCCATGGTTGGTGCTTGTTTGAGGAATTGGTGAGACTACAAGGCAAATAATCCGGGGAAACTTGAAGCTGAAGTATATACAATGCGATGTTGGAGGTCTGGTTGGAGTGTTGGAGTAGAGTTGGGGTGGGGGTTAGCTCCAGATGTCCGCATGATGACATCGCTCGGACTCGCCGCCCCGATCATGGCGGGGTGTGCCTGCCGACGCGTTGGACGCGTTCCTTCACTCCTCAACCACACCACACCACACGCCGATATCGTCTACTTTAACAACATTGCGCAAGCGCGTCACTTATCGTCAAGCAAAGACACTGGCAATGAGAGATCTCGCATTCCATTATTCTTTTACACCACGTTGGTGCAAAGAAGACGATATCCCATCGCTTAATACCGCTGCCTTTACCATGTCCATCGATCGTTCCTTCCCAACTCTTCGCCCTGGATGTTCGTAGTGGAGCAGGAGAAAACGCACTGATTATAAAGGTTCCGCTCGGTCAAGCCCTTTCTGTTATTTCACGCTTCATCTATGATGTATCGACGGCGAGAAAATCCTTGATAGGAAAGATCCCCGGATAGAGATTCGGATTTTGTTCCATCGATAAGTCCGCAGACGCAGCTCTCTTGGAAATCGTAACGTATCGATAAATCTGTCTCCGTACACTCTCGGGCAAACTCAACAGGTTTGGGTAATACCATCGCTTTGTGGTGGGAGGCTTGCCTTTCTTCCTGCCAGGGCACAGTTGAAAGTATTGTTGTGCGTCTCGATGACTGCCATGACGGCCAAGCACAACGTACCCAGGACTACTCCAATAGTGAAACGGTTGAAACTTGAATGGCTTGGTCAGCACAGAGAGAACCTGCCCAGAATACTTCTTGAAGTCGTCGGTATCTGCGCGGAGGTACTCTAGTACTTTGTTGACAGTCTTGATGTCAAATAGCTGACACTGACCGAAGTGCGGAATATAATTTCTATCGCCAAGACCCGCGTCAGACAGGACGAATTCGAAATCAGCTTTCACAGCCGAAGGTGACCACATTGCCTTTACGAGCGGAGCAAGATCGACGTTCTGGAACCATGGATAATGCTCGAGGCAGGCACTTTCAGAGCATCCATTGGCGACATCGATCTTCACCCGTCGAACATACTGCATCTGGGACCCCGAACACCAGATCGCAGCCGATTGAATCTGACCAAATCCTTTTGCGACCGCCTTGATCTGTGCAAATCTTTTGGTATGGCCGTCTGGTATCATGCCGAATACGAAAGTGTTGTTGCTGTACAAGACACTTGCGGCCTCGTCATAGATCTGCCGGCAGCTGCGCAGCAAATTGATACCATCGCGAATACTGGCAAACGCAGCCGAA